ATTATCTTAAATTTGGGTTGTCTCAAGTACTCTCGATTCCCTAATACAAGGTGGGGGGGGGGGGAGCAAGATTAGTCAAGATCTAATAAAAGGAGGGGGTGAGAATTTATACTCAAAGTTTTATTATTTATTAGTTATTAGTATATATTTTGTAATTTTTAGGCCATAATAGTTTTAGTAATTTTTTGTTGTTAACAAGTAAAAATTAATAAACAGAGTGGTCTTAATAAGCTTAGGGTAGGTGGAAATGTTTTCAAAAAATTAATAAAAATCCCCCTACCCTTTTAATAAAGACTCGAGAGTAGTAAATTTTATATTCTAAATATAAGAATTGTTAACAGTTTATTGTTTTTTTATTTCTGAAAAAAGTGACAAAATGTCGTTGACAAAGTAAGATATTTAATAAATATAATATATCCTTTAGTTTATTTATATGCATTCCTTGCAGAACCAGTTACCTTTAGGGGGATTTTTATTTCAATACAACTGTAATAAAACCATCCTATTTTGCAGTTTTTTCCGTCGCATCTAATCATTGGTGTAAAACTTGGGCGTTTGCAAATGCAGTATGTTTGATCGCTCAAAAGGTTATTAGGATCATTTTTTCTAGACATTATTTCAGATAGTGAGAATTTAAAAAATATTGTTGTCAACTTTGTTTTCAGTTTTTCTCAAAAGACCCTATCAATCGGAACATTAATTAACATTGTATCGTTTTCATTTTTTTGGTCCAAATGTAAAAATGGCAGTATGTAGTATTAGTAATTTACATTTTTTTCTGCACTTAAAAGTAATACTGGTGTGTTTTCTTTACCTAATTGTCAAAATTTACAGGAAAATCTGTATCTGTTTTCCAATTTTTTTAACCCTTTTCTATACTTATATGGGTACTTAATTTCCACTACACCGGAACCATGACAATCACAACACACCATACTATGAGGTGAAGCACCAAGACATGGATTTTTGTGAAGAAAATGCAATCCAGTTTCTGTAACAACTTTATTTGAATGTGTTTTCGCGACTAATTGCTTGTAAGAATTTATTGCTACAGTCTCCATTTTCTTACCGTAACTCGTAGATTTTGTAATGAATTCTGCGTTGTATTGCATCACTGTGTTTATAAACGTGTTAGGGTATTTATCAACTTTTATGTTATACGCAATTTTTGATAACGATGCTGTTATTCTACCTGCCCTGTGAAACTTCCAGATTTTTTTAACGCTTTGAATCTTTTTAGCCTTAAGTAAATTGCTGTACATGTTAACACTTTGAGTGATTTTGTACTCCTCGTATAATTCTGCGCAATATTTTTTTAAGGTGGAATCATCTAAATTAATTGATGCAGGCAAATATAGTGAAGTAAGTGGTTGTGGCAAATTATATTCATTGTAACTGTTATCCTCCTCCGCAGTATCTGTATCACTACAATGTTCTTTGCTTTCATTTTTTATGCCTACAGACAGAAGAATAGCAGCATTCTTATACAATTTTTTGAGTTCAACTTTTTTTTTTACTATCTGAAGTTGGTGTAAGGATCCTTAAAGCTGTAAGGTCTTTTATCCTGTGAGTTTTCATTGTCACTAATATTTTAAAGAGTTTCACGCTTCTTTGGTCGGGAAAATTTTTTTTTTTAGTGGGGCTGGCGTAGCAGATTAGCGTGATTTTTTCCAACTGCACAATGTGCTTGTGCAAGATTTTTATTTAAACCAAGCTTTGCACACGCAGCAAGCTTAAACAACAAAGCATCGATGTGACTAAACACAGAGCCCAATCTCTAATTTCAAAAATGTATAACCGATTAAACTTCTTAAAATACTTGTTTAATAATTGCACTTACCCTGCCATGCATTTGCAATTTGCCGATAAAATCCACCCATTAACTTTATTTATTGCTACCCACACTTCGTAACATTTCTGCTTCTTTCCTTGACTTTGACTTGGAAGCACCTATAACAAATTAAAAGTTGAATAAATAAAATAAAAAACATATATCATTTTACATTTTACTAAAAATAAATTTTATGGTTTTAACTTTTCAAACACTTTTTTTCCCCACTTTCACGGTGAACTTTACTTTGAAATATGCAAAATTACGTCAGGTTTAATGAATAAAAATTCATTCTTTTCTTCAATTAAATTATAGTATACATCTTGAACATGTCCAAAAATGTAAAAGTTGTACGATTCCAATGATTTATAGGTTTTCATTGAATCGTGTGTAAAGTAACTTGGCGAGTTAATAAGGTAATTATACATGTCACCCCATGTAATGTCGGGTATCATTGAAACGTAATTTTTCCAATTTTCAAGTACGTAAGGGTCAGGAAGTAACATTCCACTTGACAAAGTTAATTTTATTTTATATGCATCTTTATTGTTTTCTTCTAATGTTAAAAAGTATTCAGATTCACTCCGCATTTCGTTATGATATTTTATTGAAATTTTTATTTTGTATGTCATATTATGATATTTTAATTAAATCTTGTTAAAAGAGTTCTATGAAAAGATTGCGATGACGTTCTGTCATCCTCATCTTCTTTGAGCCCCTATCTGTTTTACTTATTTTGTTAAATTTTATGTTATGTAGTGGAATTTGTAAAATTTATATGTTATGTAAACAGAAAAAGATAAAAAAAAAAAAAAAAAAAAATTTATTGGTGTTTTCTTTCTATCCTTCGCGTCCGAAAAAATGTAAACGCGCGACGTTACTTTGAAATTCATCTATAGCAATTATCTTTATTATTGACGAAAAGGTTCAATCCATTAACAACAAACCATAGTTACATAGACTTGAGTTAAGGATCCTTTTATAACTTTGTGAAGTAAAATGTGATGAATATCACAATGAAAATTTACTATTACAACTAAATGTAGGATACTTGCAAATATATTTATTAAAACATGTGGTACTTAGATTATTATGGACCAAAACTTCATTAAAAATTTCATGTCTTGAGATTTGACATTTCATGATATTTAATTTAATTCACAGAAGATTCTAAATAAAGTATATGACACGTAATTTATCATTTAATTAGAAATAGGTAAATTTATAATGTTGCCACAGTATAATTACAATTTAAAGCATCTTAAACATTTTTTTGTTTAAAATCTGTTTAGGCGGTTCTCGATGACTGATCTTATGACCTTCTGCGAATATCTGCGTTCTTATTCTAAAGTCAAAAAAATTTGTAACTCTTATTGTATGTATTTTATTCATTATTTTATTGTAAAAGTTATTTTAAATAAACAAAATGTAAATAAAAAATTTAAAAATAAAAATTAAAATGCCTCTCAATCTTCCTAAATATTTTTCTACATTTTAACTATTTTATAAAACACAGTAAATCTAGTTTTTAGTAATAATAAAAATAAGGGAGAAAAACTTTTCCTTCACTTAAACACTGAAAACAGAAATATTAATAACTTATTTAAGTGTAAACTTACCTGATTTAGATGAACCATTTAACTTGAAATTTGGCATTTTTGTGTCAACATTACGTTTATGTGGTGGCACATAAATCATTACTAACTCTAAAAACAAAACATCAATACTATTAAATCTAATAATTAAAACTAGTTGAAATTTTTCATATAAAAAACAAAATAAGAAAAGACATCAAACCTATAGAATAGAGTTTTATTATCAGTTGCAGAAAGTTTGGAGCATACATACTATAATAAAATATGTAAAAATATATGCTACGTGCTAATACAAAAATCTATAAATGAAAAAAATTATGCTGCAGAAGCCATGTGGCTTTTTAAAGTAGCAGATAATGATCTTGCCTTAAGACATTGTGACAACACACCAATATTGTTCCAAAGAATGTTTCCAGATAGTAAAATAAGTCAATGTTTTACTATGAGTCGGCAAAAAGCTTCATATATTTTGCAAGATGGCCTTGGGCCATTGTTGGAAAAGCGTTTATGTAATAGTATTGCGTTAAGTCAAGGTGCATTCACTTTAATGTTTGATGAAACAACTACTTCACAACAAAGAAAACAAATGGATCTTTTATGTCGTTTTTGGTCAGAAGACGAAAACCAAGTTGTTACAAAATATTTAACATCGCTGTTCTTTGGCAGAGCAACAGCAGAAGATGTCAAAACAATGCTAGCAGATTTACGTCATAATGAAAGGTTTTATTTACCATGGGATCGTCTTTTTAATATTTCAGCAGATGGTCCTCATATTAACAAAGCCATTTGGAGATTGTTAAATGCTGATCTTCATAGTAATGGTTTTAATGGCTTGTTACCATTTGTAAGTTGCACTTTGCACACAGTGCATAATGCTTTTCGAAAAGCAATCAATGTTGTCGGTGAGGATGCTGAGCAGCTTGCATTTGATTTACATAACTGGTTCAAGGTAATGATTTGTGTAATTTTATACAGTAGAATCCCATTAATTCAGACCCTGGATAAGTTGGATTTGTACTAAGTCGGACAGATTTTCAATTCCCTTTAAGCTTTCTGTACATACAAAAAGCTTAGCTTATTTGGACATTCGCTAAGTCAGACTATTTATCTATTCCCTGTGAGAGTCTAACTTAACGGGATTTTACTGCAGTTAATACTAAAAGAGAATTTTTTATTTTACCTATGAAGTTATTTTTCTTACATTATTATTATTTTTTATTCTAATAGTCTATTATACGACTAGCTAATAAAGTGTAGTGTCTCTATAATTTTTTTCTGTTTTAGAATGCACCCTGTAAAATAGAAGATTTTAAAAAATTATCAGATTGCATTTTTATTGAAGATGAAACATCGTTTCTTCGTTTTGTCAATACTAGATGGCTCACTCTTTCTTCTTCACTTATAAAGGTTCTATTAAGGTGGGAAGACACCAAGAAATATTTTTTGGAATATATTCCAAAACAAAAGGAGTATAAAAAGACACTGACAAACAATAAGCGTTATATTCGAATTCAAAGAAGTCTTAGGGAAACTGAAAATCTAATTAAAGTTATTCTTCTTACTATTTTTTTTTGAATTATTACATATAATAGAGAATTGATTATTTTAGGAGTTACTTGTGTCCATCAAATTCCTTATTGGTTTAGCTCCCTTGTTTGAGAAATACTTGACAATATTTCAAGATGAAGGACCACTTGTTCATATTTTATTTTATAAAATGAAAAATCTTTTAATATCTTTAATGAAACGTTTCCTTCAACCGACTGCTGTTAATGGAAAGCTTACTAAAGATCTTTTAAAAATTGATTCTTCTGATTCAACTATCCACCTTGATTTGAATAAAATGGACTTTGGCGAGGAAGCTAAAAACCAGGTAATTTTTGATAGGTACACATTTGCTACATTTACCAGTTGCACATTTACAACCTGGTTAATGTGTACTTGGTAATTATGTATAAGTGTACTAGGCAATATAAACTATTTTGTTTATTGTATTATTCATTAGATATTTTATTATTAAAAATTAAGTTTTTTTATTCATTTTTATTGATGCAGATTTTCAATATAAATATGTTTTAGGTGAACAAAATATCATGTGAAAAAAAAAGATTTGTCTTCTTACAGCAAATGAGAGATGGATATATATCTGTTGTAAAACACTTGCAAAAAAAACTTCCACTTGATTTGCAGATATTAAAAGATATAACTTGTTTGGGTGCTCAAATGAGATCAGAACCTTGGACTGTTAATGCAATTGGGCGAATAGCAGTTAGGATGCCACATGTAATTACGGAAAGGGAGGTGAATATTTAAATAAATTTATATTAAATAACTGTAATAATAATATATATATACATATATATATATATATATATATATATATATATATATATATATATATATATATATATATATATATATATATATATATATATATATATATATATATATATATAAACATAATTTCTGATTTGTAAATTAAACTAATAATAAGTAAATTTTGAAAATTTTAAATAGTATAAGTATTTATATTGTTAACATAATCTACTATATAATTAAAATAGCAGAGTACATTAACCATATAAGTATATTATTTAACATTTTCAAAATTTACTAATTATTATTTTAATTTACAAATCAGAAATTGTTGTTTGTAAATTATTAGTTAACGAACTATTTTAATTTTAATATAATTAAATTTTCCTTTAATTTTAAATGTTAACACTTTCTCCATAACAATTTTATCTTAATTTTTGTACAGGTATCATTTGTGAAAAATGAATGGAAATTATACCAAGCAGCTAATATATCAAAAGACTGGTATATAGATTTTGATACAAAAATTCTAAAAAGAGTAGACCATTATTGGACTAAAGTTTTTGAAAGTAACAATGAATATGGAAAAACAAAGTATGGGTATCTCAGTAAAGTTGTTAAGAGCTGTTTAACAATTTAGAATGGAAATGCCAGTGCTGAGCGAAGTTTATCTGATAACAAAAATACATTAACTCCTGAGAGAGTAAATCTAAATGATGAAACATTAATGGCTTTGAGAATATCAAAAGAATATGCAAGAAGTTGAAGAGTAGCATATAATGTTGATGCACTCTCCAAAGACTTTGTTCAAGCTGTTCAAAATGCTCATAAAATATATAAAAAAAGAAAAGCTGAAGAAGACGAAGAAAAAAGAAAAAATTATATTCATGAGCAAGAACTAATGAATAAAGAAAAAGAGCAGAAAGAAATGCTTGAAAAAGTTGAAAATCAAAATAAAAATTTTGATCAACAGGAAAAAAGTCTAAAGAATGATGAAAAAAATGCAAATCTTGAGTTTCAGCTTGCTCAGAGAATGCTCGATGAAGCAGCAAAATCCATGCAAAATGCCATTATTAAGGAAGACATGATTGGTATAAAAATTGCCCATGAAATGGTAAACAGCGCAAAAAGAAGTCTTGAAAATGCTACATCTCATAGAAATGAACAGAAAAAGTTGAGAGAAAATATTGGTTTAAAACGTAAAAGTGAAATGGATAGATTAATTAAGCGTTGCAAAAAGTTAAAGTAGTCGTTAAAAGTTTGAAAGTTTTTGTAAATATAATAGAGCTTGAACTGTTAGTTCAGTTATAATTATTTAGCAAAATTTATTTATTTATGTTAATTATTTTAGACTTTATAAAAAACGTTTTATTCTGTGTTAAACAACAAAAAGATATCGAGGTTTTCATTTTTAAAAGAAATTATTGATGGCGGATGATTTTGTTTGTTATTTTGTTTGTTATTTTCAAAATAAAATTATTGAACTTTTCATTTTTATGATGAAATCAGTCATTTTTTTTCATTTTTTGTCATTTTTATTCTCAAAATACCGTCATTTTTTGTCATTTTTTTCGAAAGTTGCTGCTTGACAGCCTGCATACATAAAAAATACATCCCTTATATATAAAAAATTAGAATATACTAATAAAATCTATAACATATTTACAAAACGTTGACAAGTTAATAAATATAAATTTAAAACATTTATTATTGTAAACAAATGTTAGTTCAAAACATTTATAGATTTGTAGATGTGGTTTCAAGAATTAAAATAATAGTTCCTTTGATAGTATATTCTTAAAATAATTTATGCTAGAAATCTCAACGTAAACGTAACAAAGTTCAAATAATTCAATTTTTTAAATATTTCAACAGAATACTCAGGACATTCGGTTAGTATTTTTTAAATATTCTAGAAATTTTGGTTAGTATTTTTTAAACCAATTGAATTAGTTGTTCGTAGATTTGGCGGGATTTTAGTTTTTGCAAATATTACTTTTTTATTTTTCCGCACTAAGATGTTTTAGAACATTTAAGTTTATGTACGTTTCCATGTAAGTCCGTGAAACAAAATATTTTTAAATTTACGACAAAATGAACTTGTTATTTTGCGGACAAACAAGGAAACATATATAAACTTTTAATGTTCTCAAAACGACTAAAAAATCTGGCCAGTTTTTCGCAACTAAATATTATTTCCGTGGTCAGTTATCAAATGCGATCGCACCCGCTTCCTGCTGTGGCAATTGATAGGTATTTGTGTTTGAACCTTTTCTCATATTTAAAACCTATTCGATGTTTGAAGAACAAATAATAATGTTCAGGGCTTCTAAAATAAAGGAGTTCCAATAAGAGCCAGATTTAGATTTTGGTAGAAATTTCTTTCGTTTTTTTACCAATAGAAGATGCATTCTCTAAACAAAAAAGAAATAAAAAATTATTTAAACAAATCTAATTATTCAATTTGTTTTATTTTGAGCAACCGTTTTCAAATCATTTATAAATCGCTTCTCTTTTTTGTTTAACATAGTAGAAAGAAAACAAGAACAAAAGACAATTAGTTGCTGTTTTAATGAATGAATCATTAAATTTATTTATTGAAACTTTGATCTATTTTAATTGCACACATTGCTTTTAAATACAGATGTAAAAGCTTTAAACGTTTAGTTAAATATATTGTGTTCTTTTATTTTTATTTTTAAATTAGAAATGTAAAAAAAGTTCTAAATAGTATCTAATTTGTAACAAAACACTTTTTATGATTTTCACGATTCTTGTGTTACTTTTCAAATTGCTATAACAACGTTTTAATTGGTGACTGTTGATAAAAAGACTATACATTTTATATAGGATTGCCAGAACTTTATGAAGGAGCACACATAGTAAAAAAATATATATTTTTTTAGGCTGTGAGGCGTGCGCTTTTTTAAACATTAACTACTGTCAAGGTTCAAAAAAACTTGTAAAAAGCGCATGCCTCACCGCCTTGAGGCGATGCTAAAAACTAAAAATGACTTACATAACTAAACTATGTATTTACATGAAATTTTCGTATTTGTAAATTAAAATAAAACTTTTTTGTATTTATAAATATTGGTTATGATTTAATAATTTCTATAATATTATTTAATTATCATCTTTTATGCTTTATGCAAATATAACATAGATAATACGTTTCATTACAAGTTTAATTTGTGATTTTTTTGTTGTTATTTTTGACCTACTTTATCAGCTAATTTACTTTACCGAAAGTATTGATAAATCTTTTAAAATAAAAAAGCTATTAACTTATTTCAAAGTAATAAAAATTTTCAAATTAATATGCAAACTTCTTTGTAACTTTCCTAACTTAAAATAAACAGAGAAAATGTATACATATACAGGCCTTGTTAAGAAGCGTTTTTCCCTATTTGAATTTTACGCATGTATTCACAATATCATGTAGGCGTTTCGGAAATTAGGTTATACAAAAACTTTTTTTAATTAGTATATTTTAGAACAGATTATGAGAAGACATTAAGCTGTAATTAATTGTTGTAAAAAACATTAGTGGAGTATTTTTTTTTTTATTAGATAAAAAAAAGAGTTTAAAATTTTTACTAAATTTAAATTAAATAGTTTTAGTATTTTGTTTTATTAAATTTATGTTATTAATCATAGTTATAGTATTTTATTTTAAAAAAAAACTTTTAATTTAGTTATAAAATAAAACAGCGTTAACACTGTAAAACTTACCTTGTAGAAGTGTGTAGTATTTAGTTAAGTAATTATCAAACTATTTTAAAGAAAAAAAATTATTTTTTTATTCATTAAATGAGGTTTGTTTCGGACTTAATGTTTTAGTTAACTAGTTACTACTTATAAAAACGATAGTTTTAAGCACTTAGCATTTCTTATTGTTTAATGATGCCTAGTGTTCGGCAAAATCAAATATACGTCAAACCTTTAAAGATTTGAATTTAAACTGTTCTTTGAGGGGATAGATTTGAATTTGATTTGACAAATATCTGGAGGATTTGGATTTGATTTTCAAATATTCACTTTGTTCTCAATTTTTGCGTTTGAAAAAAAAACGCCAAATTTTACAGGCCCGCAAACATATATATCACTTTATTCCGGGGTCTTTGCAGTGGTTTCCGGAATGGCGGTCGCCTTTCAATAACGGAAAAAAAAAAAAAAAAGAGTTTTTAATTAAAGTTTGTTAATATTAAAGAGAAAGTAAAGAGCATAGAGAAAGAAAAAAAGAAAAGAAATGTAAACAAAGTACAAGATTAAAAGAAAAAACGTAGAAAAAAATATATGTAAAAATGAAAAGAAAAAATTTTAAATACAATTTAACCACAATAAAAATGGAAAAAGTAAAACAATAACGAATCGAAAAACATTCAGAGAAAGAAACAATCATTCGAAAAATAAAAATAATAAAAAAATATAATAATGGCTTGCTTGAAAGCAAAGAATTTTTTTTTTTAATTTTACTATAACTTATTTTTATATTTCCAGGTTTCAGGTAGATTTCCTAATTTATTTATTTGTTAATCTTTTTTTTGTCGGTTTAAGTTTGCCGTTTTGTTTGTAGTATGTTTGTGAAAACTTGTGTTGTTGTTGCTATTGAGTTTGTATTGTTTGCTGTTACTGTAGCTGTTTTTGTAAATTTGATCTGTTTATGTATGTTTTTTTTTTTTTTTTTTTAAACTATATTATGATTATTTCTATTTTAAAATTCGTTATTCTTATTTTCATTAATTATTTTTCCTTGTTTTTCATTGTAATAGTTGCTATATGTCATTGTTTACTTTTACGTTTTATCAGTTGTAACTGTTTGTAACTGTCTAACTTTGTTTATGTAGCTATTGTATTTATAAAGACAAGTGACTTATATATAATTATTATTATTGTTATCATTATTATTAATATTATTTTTATTATTTAAACCATTATTATTTTAATCATTTTCATTAAGTGTTTACTTAATATTAGTATATTTACTATTTGTAAACAACCTTGAAATGTATCTATTTCAGAAATATATATTGATTGATTGATTGAATGATTAATTAGTACCCCTAACCAAACTATTGTTTTGAAAGAAATCAAATATACATTCCTAATTATGTCGGATAATCCAGAACCCTAATCTTCTTCTGTTACAAAAACCACCAAACGTTCACAATCAACTGTATGGGATCATTTCACAGTTGATGAGCATGACAAAACCAAGGCCATATGCCAGCATTGTCCAAAGCACAAGAACAAGTATGCTTACAATAAAGGTGGGACAACAAATCTAATGAACCATTTAAATTCTCAACACAAAAGCAAATTACTTGGGGACAGAAAATCAAAGCAACGACGTTTAGATGACATGATAATGACACCAATCGTTTATTCTCCAGATCTATTCAATGAATACTTAGTTAGCTGGATTGTCAAGAATTATCAATCATTTAATGAGGTAGAGTCCAGCCACTTTCGTAAACTACTCACTCTACTGAAACCAAATTTGTCAATCATGAATGCGCGCCAATTAAAACGCCAGATAATGGACACTTACAACACCAAAAAACAATTGCTAAAGACCCTTTTTTTGAATCTTGACTCAAAGGTTTCATTCACCACTGACTGTTGGACATCACCCAACAACATTGCTTTTATGGGCATAACGGCTCATTACATTGACAAAGACTGGAACCTACATGCCAAAACTCTTGATTTCAAATCCTTGCCTGATTCCCATTCAGGTTCAAATTTATCTAATGCATTCTTGTCAGTTTTGATTGAATTCGGTCTTACAAGCAAAGGAATGGGCATTACCTTAGATAATGCTTCCAATAATAATTCATTTATGGATTTTTTTAAATTCCAAGTACGAAATTAAAACCACCTTTGAGCATATCCGGTGTTTTGCTCATGTGCTGAATTTGG